ACCTATACTTAACCAAGTAGAAATAAAAGTAATTGTAGTATTTTTACACAGAACTAAATATATTATGTCTATTCATGCATTTACCATAAACATCTTTTTTTTTAACACTTAAAACAGGATGTGGAAGAGTTTATCGACCAGGATTTAAGATTAATACTTGGTAAATATATAAAATTAGTGGTTACTTTTACCTACGAAAATACTTAGCTGTTATCCTGCAAAATTTTTGTAATCTAATATTTGTAGATTTTGTTTTACCTTCTTGATAATTAATGAACTTTAACCTTAAGATTAAGTGACTTTATTACATGCTTTTCGGTGGTTTATAGAAATATCAGTGATATAAAAACTGGTAATTTCACTGTTTGAAACAGTGAAAATACCACTTTGATAATTTCACTGTTTTGAATTTAAGCCCCTTACGTTGTTTCAGTGAAATACGAGCGTGCACAGAACTGGGTACCAACTTAATGACGTTACGTCGTAAATGACATCACGTTGTATTATTATTTGGCGCGCTTTTCATGCAGTATCAGGTTTAATGTCTTTTTAAAACGTTTCTTTGCATATAATAAAAAGAAAATTTGTTTAGTTTAGTGTAAGATCGAAATATATTTCACCTTGTGAACACCAAAAGTTTATACACCTTTTGTTGCTCAATCGGTGAAATATATTCTGATCTTACACTGAACTAAACAAATATCCTCTATATATCAAAATTCCTAGTTTTGACAGGCAACAATATATAGTTGTGGTATAGACTTGTCATCGTAAAATGGTTTATTATTGGAACACATAAATTTTTGTAGACCCCGGAAGATAAAGAATATTAGCACACTTGTTTATTGGGGGCTACTGACCCCCCCCCCTCCCCCAGCTTTTTTTACAACTACACAAAATTCAGAATAACCTTTAGAAACAGAATAAAAGCATAGTAACAAAAACTCATGTACATGCATTTAGTTCTTGTGTCTGCTAAACTTGGTGAAGATATGGCATGAATGAGATAAATATTACCATAGATACTAGCCAAAGGTTATATTTATGCCCCAATTTCAAAGAAAAGGGGGTATATTGCTTTGCACTTGTCGGTCCGTCTGTCCATAGACCAAATGGTTTCCGAGTGATAACTAAAGAACCCTTAGGCCTAGGAACTTCAAACTTGGTATGGTGATTGGTCATGACCAGTAGATGACCCCTATTGATTTTGGGGTCAAGGGGTCAAAGGTCAAGGTCACATTGACCTTGTAAGCAAAAACGGTTTCCGATCAATAACTAAAGAACCTTTAGGCCTAGGAACTTCAAACTTGGTATGGTGATTGGTCATGATCAGTAGATGACCCCTATTGATTTTGAGGTCAAGGGGTCAAAGGTCAAGGTCTCATTGACCTTGTAAGCAAAAACAGTTTCAGATCAATAACTAAAGAACCTTAAGGCCTAGGAACTTCAAATTTGGTATGGTGATTGGTCATGATCAGAAGATGACCCTTATTGATTTTGGGGTCAAGGGTCAAAGGTCAAGGTCACATTGACCTCTTGGGTAAAAACGGTTTCCGAGTGATAACTAAAGAACCCTTAGGCCTAGAAACTTCAAACTTGGTATGGTGATTGGTCATGACCAGTAGATGACCCCTATTGATTTTGGGGTCAAGGGGTCAAAGGTCAAGGTCTTATTGACCTTGTAATTAAACGGTTTCTGATCAATAACTTAAGAACGCTTAGGCCTAGGAACTTCAAACTTGGTATGGTGATTTGTCATGACCAGCAGATTAACCCTATTGTTTTTTGGGATCAAGGGGTCAAAGGTCAAGGTCACATTGACCTTGTAAGTAAACACGGTTTCTGATCAATAACTAAAGAACGCTTTGGCCTAGGAACTTCAAACTTGGCATGATGATTGGTCATGACCAGCAGATGACCCCTATTGATTTTGGGGTCAAAGGTCAAGGTCACATTGACCTTGTATGTTAAAACGGTTTCCTATCAATAATAAAAGAACCCTTAGGCCTAGGAACTTCAAACTTGGCATGGTGATTGGTCATGACCAGCAGATGTCCTCTATTGATTTTTTGGTCAAGGGGTCAAAGGTCAAGGTCACATTGACCTTGTAGGTAAAAACGGTTTCTGATCAATTAACTAAAAAGGCTTAGGCCTAGGAACTTCAAACTTGTATGATGATTGGTCGTGACCAGCAGATGACCCCTATTGAGTTTTGGGTCAAGGGGTCAAAGGTAAAGGTCATGACCAGTAGATACTTGATAAACCTTATTAATTGTTGATCACTGGGTCAGAAGTCATGCATTATAACCTTATCACATGACTAATTGGCTGCTGATAGAGGGCATACATGTATTCAGCAGAATACAGGATTGTCAAAATCACAATGAAATTATTTTTGTTATTGTCCAAGCATGAATTTCTGTATAAATTCTATATATTTTGGTTTTGAAGTGTAAATATATCTATATATGTTGAATAGAATTAAGATGCAGACAGAAAAACATAATATTTCTAAAACTAGTCATGTGACTTGGGCAATTCCTTGAAAATACAATTATAATATATATTTTGGATATTGTATGATTGAAACAAACCCAAATCATTCTTTTGACATGTTTTTTAACGATTCCAGAGTTCACTGTGACAACTTAAAGCTTTTACCTGACCAACATGGGTCAAGTTAGGAAACTTCCATTTTATTCTTCATAAGGGGTATAAAGTTTTGTTCCTGTGACTGTCTAGAGATTTGTTTTGAGGATTTTAACAGAATAATGAAATGAAGAAATGAAAATTTTGCCTGTGTCTGCCTATAAAGGAGGTCAAAAAGTCTGAAAAGTAAATTCTTTCCTAAATAAAGGGAAGCACTTAAAATGAGAATTTTCCAAAGTAAAATAAATATACTCACAATTAAATTTAAAGTTGATCTTTGTGTGATTTTTTTAGCTGGATTTGAATGAGAAGTGGATACTAAAGCTTTACATTCTTGGGTCAATTTGCACATTAAAAGAAAACAATTAGTCTTGATAGGGAAATGATCAGAAAATATGTGTGCAAGTTATTTGTCCAGTCTGACAAAAATCTTTCATATCATGTCAAAAAATGGTCTGATTACATATTTGAATTATTGTTTGTTTTCATTTAAATTCATAAAGTTTTCTTTGTTGTGTTTATTAAGCCCATTTGGTTCTTTTGTATTATGTATTTTAGTGAATTTAAATTTTTTTTAATCCCGGAATATTTATATTCTAGACTGCAGATTTAGAATATAGTGTCCTAATGAGTATAAATCTCTACTGTCATCATTTTACACTAAAGCAAATATCAGGACTGTAACTTTATTTAGAATTTATGTGGTATTTTATTTCCCTCTGAAAACAATCATGTAGTTTACAAAAGGAACCAGGAAACTAAGTGCTTTAAAAATGTTTATACATTACTGTAATATATGCAACTCAGCTCTACTTTCTGAAAATATTCACTAAAAAAATGTCATCCGTTTTTTCAAAATGATAATTGTGAGTCATTTTTTTAAAGCATTGTTTTGACTGCATTACCAGGCATATAGATCCAGAAATTTTACATATATATCTGCTGTCCTGCTCACAATTTTAGATGGTCAGATGGGGGCCTTCACGCAGGAAATAAAATTAAGTCTGCATGTTTAATGGTGGCCTCTGATGTATTTACTGTCTATTTAATGCCCATTTCTACATTTAAATTTTTAACAGAAAATTTCAGACTTTAAGACATGTAAGGGTATTATGCTAATCTATCTATAAAAAACAACAGAATCTGCATATTAAATGATGGCTTCTCGTACATGTTCTCATGCACATTAAAAGATTCATGATTCATCATTTTCCAGAACATTTGATGGTTTTTGACATGCGAAGGTGTTATACTAAATTTTATTGTCCACAGCCTTTTCAAAGAAAAAAGGGGGATATTGAAATAGGCTCAGTCAGTCTTTCCGTCAGTCTGTCACACTTTCCTGTCCTGTCCATACCTATATCATTTATTAAAGGAATTTGAAATAACTTGGTGCAAATGATTTTTTATAATAAGACATCTAATAAGGTCAAGGTCACACTTGGTGATTAAGGTCAACATTGTCTTTTTAGGGTATATGTTGTGTCTGGTCTATAGGACCATAACTTTCTTATCCATGAATGAATTTTGAAAATACTTTGCATAAATGTTCACAATGATAAGACAATGTGTCAATCTCAACAACTAATTTCCTACCTCCAAAGTCAAGGTCACAGTTTAAAGTCAAAGATTAAAATAGTCTGTTACAGGGTATATTTGGTGTCCGGTCCATAACTTCTTCAAAGATCAAGGGATTTTGAAATTATTTGTCACAAGTATTCACAATAATAAGACAATATGTCATGAGCAACAACCAGTTGCTACCTCTAATGTCAAGGTCACAGTTGGAGGTCAAAGAACAACATAGTCTGTTACAGGGTATATTTTGTTTACAGTTCATAACTTTCTCATCCATCCAGGGATTTTGAAAATACTTGTCACAAATGATCATAGTAAGAAGATGTTGAGTCATTTGCAACACCCGGACACCTACCTCAGAAGGTGTATAAAATAGAAAAGATAATTCATTCAAACTAATAATGTTTTTGAAGCAATGTTTACCTCCACAATTATTGAAAGTTTTCACTAAAAACTTTACACAATATGTCATGTCTTCAAGATCATATTTGTGTATGGAAGTCACTGTCCAAGATGATAACCTTTAACTATCAAGCACTGAGAAAAGATCAATTTGTTGTTTTGTTGTTTTAATGCTGCAAATCTTGAAATACCAGATATATGTATGGGCACACTTTATTTGTGAATTTGTAAATTACATGTATTAGAATAGATAATAATGTTATAACTTTCAGAATTATTTAGATTATCTTTGACTTTCAAAGACTGCCGTTCTGTCATTTTAGTAATTTTTTTTTCTGTAATTTAAAACTAACATTTTTCGTTTTTTACAGATATACTTTGACCTGGCAATATCCAAGGATTAACAAATTATGTCAAGCCAGAGAGATGGGTGGCCAGAAAATGTTGGAATTGTTGCTATAGAGGTTTATTTCCCCGCCCAGTATGTGGATCAGAAAGAATTGGAAACATTTGATGGTGCTTCAACAGGAAAGTATACCATTGGGCTTGGACAGGAAAAAATGGGGTTCTGCTCTGACAATGAAGATGTAAATTCCTTATGTTTGACTGTTGTACAACGTTTAATGGAAAGAAATGGGGTCTCGTATTCAGATATAGGTAGACTGGAAGTAGGTACTGAGACAATATTAGATAAATCAAAGAGTGTTAAAACAGTACTAATGCAGTTGTTTGAAAGTTGTGGCAATACAAATATAGAAGGAATAGATACAACTAATGCATGTTATGGTGGTACATCGGCTCTCTTTAATGCTGTGAACTGGATCGAGTCTAGCTACTGGGATGGTAAGTTTGATTTTATTGGATTCAATTAAGGTAATTACTATACCAGTTTTTAGAATAATACACCAAGATTTCCATTATACCAAGACATAACATGTGATCAAATATACCTAATTGATGATTTATCTTGAAAATTATGAAACCTTGGCCTTACGTCTTCCCCCGAGTATATATTCAATTTGATATATTCAATTTGAAAAAAAGAAAAAAAGAAAGAAATAAAACCCCACAAATTTTAGTCTACTTGTGAGTTGAATTTTCTTGTGATTAATGGAAAAAAACACAACATTTCTTTGCTTTCTGAGGAGAATTTATAGAAAATTTTTCAAAGATGATATTCAATCTAATATAAGTACTGGTATATTAATTTTGAGACATGTTGAGACATGTTTTTTTGTTATCTTTGTCGGCTGTTTTTTATTTCAGGCCGGAAAGCACTGGTTGTGGCCGGGGATATAGCTGTGTATGCTTCAGGCAATGCTAGATGTACAGGTGGTGCAGGGGCTATAGCCATGCTTATAGGAGACGATGCTCCTTTAGTTTTTGAAAGAGGTAAACAAATGGTATTAATTTTTGCTATTAGATAAGTTTATTTATATGGGGTCCATCGCTTAGTGGTTAAGGTGTTTGTCACTTTATCCAGGAATCATTCATGGTTTCAAAATTCAAGCCCAACTAGGGTCTCAACCATTTCACTCATTTGACTCTCCATGAAGATTAGGCTCAAGGAGTGATTAAAATAAACTACTTATTTCCATCACAATCAAACATTCATTATATGATTTACCATCAGCAAAATCTGATGGCTATATATGAGGTCCTAACTTGTAGCAGAAGGCTGTACAAGGACTTTGCCAGAAAATAATCCATAAAAAAATCTGTTTTAACACTAGCAAAACTTTATGAATGAATTATCATTTTATGATAAATATCAAACATAAGGAGTGGTGAATTTGCCAGTATTTATGTGGTAATGTTAATTTGAATTCCTGGCTTGTTTCAAAACATCTGTAAAATGTGTAAAGTATAGATAACAATGGTCATATGAATTCTGCCTCTTCTTGAAAAATGTTGATTTGATTTTGTTTATATTTTGTGGACTGATACAGATAATCTAACATATATGTTTACAGGTTGCCGTGCAACGCATATGCAGCATGTGTACGACTTTTACAAGCCTAACATGGATTCGGAGTATCCAGTGGTAGATGGGAAGTTGTCTATACAGTGTTATTTACATGCATTAGATAAATGTTATGATATTATCTCTCACAAATTAGAGTCAGCTGAAATTAAAAGTAAGCCATAAATTATAATTATATTTCACTATACAAGTTACTTTGGTTTATATCATGTGGTGTTACACTTACCGAGCACCAAAATACCTTTAACCACCAATCTCCCCCAACCAACTCATCAAGGCTAGCAAGTATGAGATAAGTTGATAACCTGATGGACAAATTATGTTTAATTATGGTTAAAATTGTGTAAATATCCCATACTGTATGCTTTATTGGGGATGCATGTGGGGAATTAGGTGTACTAATGATAAGTTTATCATGGTTTTTATCAATAATATGAAAACTATTGTTTACAAAAAAGTGTGCATGTGTATGAAATATAAAATCTTTGTCATAAAAGAACAATATGTACCATATCCATTACAACAAATTTTTGTCATTTTCCTTGCTAAACTGACTGTCATATTGTCATAATGATATTGATATGTATATGAGCCGCATCATGACAAAACCAACATAGTGCGTTTGCGACGAGCCTGGATCCAGACCAGCCTGCGAATCCGGGCAGTGTGATCAGGATCCATGCTGTTCGCTTACCAACCCTATTACAAGTAGAGAAATTAATAGCAAACAGCATGGATCCTGATCAGACTGCACAGATGCGCAAGCTGGTCTGGATCCATACTGGTTCTAAACAGATTTTTTACAAAAAATGGTGAAATTAAGCATTTTAGAGTATACTGTGAGTGACAATAGATAAATCTCATTCTAAACATCAAGTTTATGAAGATGTATGCAGTACATGTAATGTAGGAAGTAATTTTAAAGTTGTCTTAAAGCTACAATACATCTTTGTAGAGGATGTAATAACAAAGCATGTAAAATGATTACTGTAATGTATATATATATGAATGTATATATGGACAAACAATACACTTGTTATAAATAACACTTTTCATCATATTATCTGATGAAACTTATCGACTAATCAAGAACAATTGGTATGATTCATTTTGACAGAATATTGGTTATAATAGTTGCTTGCTACAAAGAAGTGTAAGTTTAAACTTGAGAAAGCATGATTTGAAAATACTCTATATGTTATTAAATAAAAATTTTACGAATAATTTGTGCATGGTTTAAGGTTGTGAATTAATATCATAATAAAATTATCATTTTCAAATTGGTAGAAATGACTTAAAATTTTTAATGAATTAACTTCTGAGTTGATTTTTAGCTTCACTTTTCTATCTCACTATTCAGAACTGAAAAAGTTGAGCACTCTGCTCCTTGGGCAGCTCTTGTTGAATTATGCATCAGTCTTTGTTACCTTATTACCTATGAAATAGTAGTGACGGAACAGATGGACATAAAAACCTCTGTGGATTTGATGATAACCTTATCAGATAGTGGTCTAAATGTAATGGAAGTATTTGCCACTATATAGACCCTTTCATTTAAGACCGTATTCAAGTTGTCGCCCTTGGATGACGTCATTGGGGGATACGGTGGACAATGCCGATACGATTAAGTACAATTATAGAGGGATATATGGATTTTAATCCTTTCTCTTTTAAGATTGGCAGATTGAAATTGCCAAAATTTTGTGTAATTGAATAAGATATTACATAAAAAGAATGGTGAAATGAATAAATATGTTTACTATATATATATAATATGGTTAACAATTTGTTTTAATAGTAGACCATATTCCTGGTAACTGATCATGATTACCATTTTCGTTAGATTCTTAATAATGAAAAGTTTACCAGGCACTTAAATCGTACTCACTTGTTAATACCAGAGATATAGATAATGTATCTATGTCTCTGCTAATATACAATACCCAAAAGATATTTTGAGTTTCAAAAATGTAAGGATTCTGTAGTTTCGAAAAACGGCTGCGTAATAATTAATTACAAGATACTAGTATATTAAAAATCATTTTGATTTAAGCAATACTTAGAATAGAAAACAATATACATGTAATTTCAAAAAAAATGTAAAGGCATAAAAAGTAAAAAATCTTTTGAATGTACTTGTACATGACTGTATACTATTTGTGTCGGCAAAAAATGCACTCTCAAAAAATCGTACATCACACCAATATATTTAAGCTGGTAAAGTAATATTTTCAACTCGATACTTTTTAATTCATACTCTGCTTATCAAATATTTAAAATAATCACAAAAAAACCCCAACAAAAACAAGTTGTGAAACACGATCACAGAAATTCGTTATTAACTGAATTACAATTTTACGCATTTTTGACTGTGCCAGTTGGTAGGGCTCTGGATCAAGTATCAAATCAGCTAGGCATGACCAATTAAGTCCCTAGGATGATCCATAACAAAATTCGGATCATAAATATTTTGACAACTAACAAAAGTGACGTAATCTTATAACTCTAAAAAATGCATCCTGGTGATTTATGATATCACAGCCAAGTGCCGCTTGTATATACAAATGTACAACATATATGTACCCTGTTAATTAATATGTTACGGCCCAGTGGCGCTTATATATACATGTACACATCTATTTATCTATGAAATAAGTTACTGGGAAAAGGTCTTTAAAGAATAGATTTTTAATATCAAAATTATCTTATTATCGTCTGTTGCGAATCTTAAATTATAAAAGTCAATGCCATATGGTTTTCGTTCTTTCCGGAATATTTATAAAATTATATCCTTCACAGGTTCTCTGAAATATTTTTTATACGGCATAATGAAAAAAGAATCAGTAAGTATTGACATAATGCATTCTGTTATTGTTCTATAAAAGCTTGAAAAACAATCATTAAAACACATTGGTAATCTTATTTTCAGGTTAGTCACAAATACGCAGGAATTTTCTAAATGACAGAAAATAACACAGAAAACTAGAAAATTGTCATTTAAATTTATAAAAGGCAATTTCGGTGTGTATGGGTGTTTATAAAATAATAAAATTTGATTTAGTTATAAGCTTTTTATCCTGGCATTTGAGAAAATCTAGATCTAATAAATGTATTCACTTTAAAATTCGCTGTTTCACTCGGGCGTAGCGACATGGATTTATAAATCCGTGGTAGCGAGAATTAATCTCAATCTTTGCTTTTGTATTTTTTTCTATTGTGTTGATATTGAATTTATGTATGCATGCGTAAATTTTTACATGTTATAATCATAATTGAACGATCAGTATTTACGCATTTAACTTTTCAATAAGCTAACTTTCTATGCGGCATGCATAGTTTTATCCCCCATTTACGTCACATCCGGTAAGGGAAGTAACTCTTCACTGACTGTTATCGCTTAAATGAAAGGGTCTATAATCTTTCCCTCATATGACAACAGATAGCTAGATTATTAGGTATAAAGATTTTGGACAGGTTATATGACCCTATTTAAATAGTTGTTTGTATATATAACCCAAGCAGCTAGTCAAGGGTTATATTGCAAACAACTGTTAATTTAAGGCCATATATCCTGTCAGGAATCTTTATAACAAATTTATGATACAGCAAACTTCCTTTTTTAGAGAAAAAAAAGATTTCTTCAAAAAATGACAGCAGCTGTGCATAAACAACTACATGTATATAAACATTACAGTTAGCCATTGAAAAGCGACGTCTAAATGTGCAGTATTTTGAAGTATTTTGCAATAACATAGTAAATCAATTCAATGAAACAGTAAAACATATACTCATGTATGAGAAATGACAACACATCACTTATCACTAAGGATTACACAAAAAGAAAGCTAAAACTAAACTATTAAAAAGAGAGTAGTTTATTCCACAGTACACAGCCATTATATTCAAATGATTTTGCAATTTAACTTTTGTCTTTTGTTACTATTAATAAATTTCATAACAATAACATGCAGCTTGCTTATACACTTTCACTTGACCTGTTCATATACGAATGGATAGAATGTATGGGAATGATCCAGCATTTTCATCTGAAAAACGTATGTGTGCTCAACAAAAATTTCTAAAACAAAGAAATATTGTTGCAATATACAATCATGCTTGCATTTATAAAAATTGTCATTTAGGTAGGATTCAAATCAGGGCTGGTGCATGTGTAAATAAATAAACAATACTTAAACTTTAAAATGTAAATTGTTAAAATGTAGAAGTACTTTAACTCCCTTGTAATATAATTCACCTAGGAAAATATGCAAACTATTAAGACGGAACTTTTCCAAAATAGAACCTTGACTTAAGTCTTATATCTGATGTAAGAATCAAATAATTAGCTAAATTTTTCTTAAATGAATTGTCTCCCTTGATCTTATAAAAGATTAATCAGTTACTTTTGACTAAAAAATTCATTGTATTTATTTTACTCCTTAGTAAGTTCAAAGGTTTTCATTTGCGGTGTCCATGCTGCTAACGAAACTCAGCCTTTTATATGTGACATGCTAACAGTTTGTTAACAATATTTGAAACTTTTTAAGTTGCTTAAAAAATACTTACAAAAAGGCACCAGAAGGGTTGCTTATAGTGCTTACACTGCTAACAGATAATAAAATACAAGTTAAAAAATCATACAATGCGCTGCTTATTAAACTGACTTATCTAATAAATAAATAATTAGAATATGCAATAACAAAGTAATTTGGTAAATATGATAAAAACTTAAATAAAAAAAATATTATCTTTGTATGCAGAACTTAACTTCCTTGATGAATCAAAATAATCATGATGTAGTAATTAAATGACATCATCATATGGTGAATAACCAACATGGCTGACAATAAACACTTCCGGGTTTTAGGAAATGGTAGAATTACCAATATTAGCATAAGGGTAAGCTATAAAAAATAATGTACATTGACATACAATCAGTAGATTTTTATAACATATCAACTGTATTTAACTAGAATATAAGTATATGTAGGCTAATTAAAGGGTAAAATAAGCTCAGTGAAATGCAGTACATCACAATATATCAATATCATTACTTTGTATGTTGTTTCATGTAATATTTGATAATATTTTATCATGTTTCATTTTTTTCCCAAGATTTTCAATATTTAACTTCTTTATACTTTCAGCTGGTTCAAGTCTGTTAGATTGTGCTGATGCCTTTGTCTTTCATTCACCGTTTTGTAAACTTGTCCAAAAGTCTGTAGCTAGAATTATGTTCAATGATTTTCTTCAAGACCCTCATCCAGAACAAAGACAAATCTTTACTGGTTTAGATGCATTTAGGTTAGTTAATATATGTGTATTTTAAAACTTGGGGTGTTAAAACATCCTTGCTGTTATAATTACTTCATTTTGAGAAGGATGTACACAGTGTCTGTTCCTGGATTTTTGAAAAACAGTTTGAATTTTCATCGAAAAGTGAGAATTTATTACATTTGTTGATCTTTTTCTTCCTTTCTCTATGTAAAATCCCCCCCCCCCTTGCCCTCTGAAAAAATAGGGGAAATTCTCAAAGATATGAGTGAATCTCCCCATCCCCCGTCCTAGAATAGACACTGTACATCTGCATTGGAAATGAATATATATTATGGTGATATGATGAATTAAAGTTTCATGAAATGAATGTTTAAATGGTGATTGAACTTCTATGTTGATCTATTTATGTGTGTCCTGCCATTTTACATGTACATGCTTAAGGTCCATTGCAGAGAATTTGGTAATAACTGGTTAGTTTTCCAGGAAAGCTGGTTAAGTTGATCACCCTCCAGAATAGATCCAGAAATGTGTTAAAATCAGTGTAAAAAACACAAACTGAAATAAACAGATTTCAGTATCAGTACACATAATGAGGTGGTAACAACATACAAACTAGCTAGTATATCTGTAAGTTTGTAAATTCTAATAATACGAATTTATACATTTTTTTATTCACATAGATAAAGATATATTTATTATTGAATTTCATCTCTTTAAAGTATAAATAAACTGTAACAAATTTTGATTTACATGTTTATGACCTGCCTAAATTAAAAATTCTTTCCAGAGAATTTAAATTAGAAGACACATATTTCAACAAACAGGTAGAAACTGCCTTTATGACTGCTAGTAGAACAGAATTTATCAAAAAGACAGAGCCATCACTATTACTTGCCAAGCAGATAGGAAATATGTACACTCCTTCAGTATATGGAGGTCTTGTTTCTTTCTTAATCAGGTAATTAGGGGTTGTTTTCTTATGAGAAATCTTTACATTGACTTGAATAAGACCATCCTTATGGTTTACATGATAAAAATCTAGACTGTTTCTATATTTGAGACTTAATATTACCGATTACATTGACCATAACTACAAGCTCAAAATTACTGACCCTTCAGATTTCTCATCGATCAAAACTACTGACTTTTCAGATTCCTTATTGACTGTTACTACAAGCTCAAAACTACTGACTTTTCAGATTTCTTATTGACCATTGCTACAAGCTCAAAACTACTGACCTTCAAATTTCTTATTGACCGTTACTACAAGCTCAAATGACTGACCTTCAAATTTCTTATTGACCAATACGACAATCTCAAAACTACTGACCTTTCAGATTTCTTATTGACCAATACTACAACCTAAAAACTACTGACCTTTCAGATTTCTTTATATTGACCAATACTACAATCTCAAAACTACTGACCTTTCAGATTTCTTATTGACCAATACTACAATCTCAAAACTACTGACCTTTCAGATTTCTTATTGACCGTTACTACAAGCTCAAAACTACTGACCTTTCAGATTTCTTATTGACCATTACTACAAGCTCAAAACTACTGACCTTCAAATTTCTTATTGACCAATACTACAATCTCAAAACTACTGACCTTTCAGATTTCTTATTGACCATTACTACAAGCTCAAAACTACTGACCTTTCAGATTTCTTATTGACCAATACTACAATATCGAAACTACTGACCTTTCAGATTTCTTATTGACCATTAATACAAGCTCAAAACTACTGACCTTTCAAATTTGTTATTGACTTTTACTACAATCTCAAAATTACTGACCCTCCAGATTTTTTATTGACCAATACTACAATCTCAAAACTACTGAATTTTCAGATTCCTTATTGACCATTACTACAATCTTAAAATTACTGACCTTTCAGATTTCTTATTGACCATTACTACAAGCTCAAAACTACTGACCTTTCAGATTTCTTATTGACCATAACTACAAGTTTAAAATCATTGAACTTTAGGGGCTTCTGTGGCCAAGTGGTTAAGGTTGTTGACTTCAAAACACTTGCCCCTCACTGCTGTTGGTTTGAATCCCGACACAGACTTTTAATGCTTTCATGTGAGGAGGCTATCCAGCTAGCTTACGGGACGTCAGTGTTTCTACTCAGGTACCCGTTTGTGCCTGAAATAATACATGGAAGGGCACCTGAGGTCTTCCTCCACCAGTAAAGCCTGAACATCGTCATATGACCTATACTGTGTAGGTGTGATGTAAAACTCAATAAAACAAACAAACAAACACTGAACTTTAAGGTTTTTTTTTCATTTACAATAACTACAAGCTCTAAAAATCAGTGTTTTTGCATAAGTACTTTTCTGGGTGAGTTGATATGAAATAGTACTTTGAAATGAATTTCACCAAATAAAAGTTAGAGGTTATTATTTGTTATATATGCTCAATGTAAAGCTCTTGTTACTTCCTTTTATATTAAAGATATACTATGCTCAAATTTAATTTTTCAAAATATTAATAATTGCTACACAGTCTTTTTCTATGTATAAAATAAACATGTTTCGACTTCATTTAAAGTAAATATGTTTTGTTTTGAACTCTACACACTTTAAGTGGTCACAATATGAATATATAGTGTCATTAAAAAAACTGGCAGTTTTTTAAAGAAAAGACCACCTTTACTCAACTTGTAATAGGGAATGCAGCTTCCCATATATAGTTTATTTATTATTTTATTCAAGAATTTCATGGATTTCAATACATTTATAAGATAAAAATATTTTACCCAAAGATGAGCATAGTATATCTTTAAAAGAAAATTGAAAGTATTGTTGAAAATTGGTACTTTTCTTTAGCAATGGCTAAATAATAAATGTATTGTGCATCTAATTTAAGTTGAAAAAAAATGTTTTTCACAGTTCAACTTTTAAAATTTAAATTAATTGTACTGATTTATTATAACTGATCATCAAAACAGCTGTTCAGTCATGAATGTAATAAGTGTTCTTTTTCATTATTTTCAGTCGACCAGTGGAAGATCTAGCAGATTGTAGAATTATTTTATTTTCATATGGGTCTGGTTTAGCTTCATCTATGTATTCACTGCGGGTCACTAAAGACTTTTCACCTCAGTCAGATCTTCACAAATTGGTTAATAATCTTAGTGATGTCAAAATGAGGCTGGACAGAAGAAAAAAAGTTGCACCAGAAATATTTGATAATTTGATGAAACTAAGGGAGACAACTCATCATAAAGGTGAATATTCTATAAGATGAGTTCTTTATCTTTATTCTTAGAGAGTTTACTTCAAAAGAATAATTGTTCAATCATTAAAGCAAAGATATGGAAAAACATTGTATTATTTAGCAAATGGAATTCTTAATTTTGTTTCTAGCACACTGAAGTTTTGTAGATTCATGAATTTATGAAATTCGGATTGTAATTGTATGTATTTCAAGAAAACTTTCAAATTTCTTGTAATGAAATTGTTAGACCTATGAAGTCAAGACTGACAATATATAACATTTGCATGAACATAAATTAGATCAATATATGGATTAACAATCAGTCTAGTTGATATTATAAAACTCAGTTAATGTTGAATTGTTCCAATCTGAAATTGTAGTGTCTAGCATTCACTACAAACTGACTTAAAGAAAATATATATGATATAAACATTGCAGCACCGTACAAGCCAGAAAGTAGTATAGCCCATTTATTCCCAGGAACATACTATCTTTTTGATGTAGATGACAAACATCGTAGAAAATATAAAAGAAAACCATTGACAGAACCAGTAGATGTAGCTGACCAACTTTCACAGGTATGTAGTTTCATTATATTTGAGGTTTTACCTGTGCTGTTCAGCATGGAAAATTGAACCAAAATTACATCATCTATTGTTGGTTTCTTTATAAGATACTGTTAACATGTACTGCATGTACTATGTTTCACATGATTATTTGGCACAACTTTTGTTCTCTGCTTTTTTGCTGTCTTATTCCTTAAGATTTGTTTGAAAACTTAATTCTTACTATCTGAGTAGGTATGAGGGTCGTCCAGAAAGTTTGTAGACTCCTGCTTTAATACGAGTGTGTCGCATCAGAATTACATGAAACTTTCTTTAATCACTCAGCAATGTTCCGTGATGTATGCTAGAAAATTTCAAAACTTTTTTCACTGGTTTATGTAAAGGGATGTTCACCGTTGCTTCCCACACATTTCCTCTGTCTATCAACCCATTTGTCATACACCTTTGAGTACCAGTCACTCTCAATTCCAGAAATAATGAGTATTGTTTTTAGCTCACCTGTCACAAAGTGACAGGGTGAGCTTTTGTGATCGCTTTACGTCCGTCGTCCGTCCGTCCGGCGTCCGTCCGTCGTCCTTCTGTCGTCCATAAACTTTTACTTTAAATGACATCTCCTCATAAACCGCAGAGCCAATTTCATCCAAACTTCACAGGAATGTTCCTTTGGTGGTGACCTTTATAAAATTGTTCGAAGAATTTAATTCCATGCAGAACTCTGGTTGCCATGGCAACCGATAGAAAAAACTTAAAATATCTTCTTTTAAAAAACCGAAAGAGGTAGAGCTTAGATACTTGGCATGAAACATCTTCTAGTGAGTGTCTATCAAGTTTGTTCAAATAAAAGCCCTGGGGTCAAAATTGGCCCCGCCCCAGGGGGTCATTGATTTTCCCTATATGCATATAGTAAAAAATTAAAAAATCTTCTTTAAAAGAACCCAAAGAGCTAGAGCTAAGATATTTAGCATGAAACATCTTCTAATGGGTGTCTACCAAGTTTGTTCAAATAAAAGCCCTGGGGTCAAAATTGGCCCCGCCCCAGGGGGTCATTGATTTTCGATATATGCATATAGTAAAAACTTATAAAATCTTCTTTTAAAGAACCCAAAGAGCTAGAGCTAAGATATTTAGCATGAAACATCTTCTAGTGAGTGTCTATCAAGTTTGTTCAAATAAAAGCCCTGGGGTCAAAATTGGCCCCGCCCCAGGGGGTCATTGATTTTCCCTATATGCATATAGTAAAAACTTAAAAAAACTTCTTTTAGAGAACCCAAAGAGCTAGAGCTAAGATACTTAGCATGAAAGATGTTTTAATGGGTGTCTACCAAATTTGTTCAAATAAGAGCCCTGGGGTTAAAATTGGCCCTGTCCTGGGGGTCATTGATTTTCCTTATATGTGTATTACAAAAGCTTTTTAAAAAAATCTTCTTTGAAAAAACCCAAATAGCTAGAGTTTAGATATTAAGCATGAAACATCTTCAAATGGGTGTCTACCAAATTTGTTCAAATAAAAGCCCTAGGGTCAAAATTGGCCCCGCCCCAGGGGGTCATTGATTTTCCCTATATGCATATAGTAAAAACTTAAAAAAATCTTCTTTAAAAGAGACCAAAGAGCCAGAGCTAAGATATTTAGCATGAAACATCTTCTAATGGGTGTCTACCAAGTTTGTTCAAATAAAAGCCCTAGGGTCAAAATTGGCCCCACCCCAGGGGGGTCATTGATTTTCCCTATATGCATATAGTAAAAACTTAAAAAATCTTCTTTAAAAGAGCCCAAAGAGCTAGAGCTAAGATATTTAGCATGAAACATCTTCTAATGAATGTCTACCAAGTTTGTTCAAATAAAAGCCCTGGGGTCAAAATTTGCCCCGCCCCAGGGGGTCATTGATTTTCCCAATATGCATATAGTAAAAACTTATAAAATCTTCTTTTAAAGAACCCAAAGAGCTAGAGCTAAGATATTTAGCATGAAACATCATCTAATGAGTATCTATCAAGTTTGTGCAAATAAAAGCCCTGGGGTCAAAATTGGTCCCGCCCCAGGGGGTCATTGATTTTCCCTATATGCATATAGTAAAAACTTAAAAAAACTTCTTTTAGAGAACCCAAAGAGCTAGAGCTAAGATACTTAGCATGAAAGATGTTCTAATGGGTGTCTACCAAATTTGTTCAAATAAGAGCCCTGGGGTTAAAATTGACCCTGTCCCGGGGGTCATTGATTTTCCTTATATGTGTATTGCAAAAGCTTTTTAAAAAAATCTTCTTTGAAAAAACCCAAATAGCTAGAGTTTAGATATAAAACATGAAACATCTTCCAGTTAGTGTCTTCAAAGTTCAAATAAAAGCCCTAGGGTCAAAATTGGCCCTGACACGGGGGACATTAATTTTCCTTATATGTGTATAGCAAAAACTTAAAAATCTTCTTTGAATAAAAACAAATAGCTAGAGTTTAGATATTAAGCATGAAACACCTTCTAGTGAGTGTCTTCAAAGTTTGTTCAAATAAAAGCCCTGTGGTCAAAACTGGCCCGCCCTAGGGACGTCATTGCTTTTAACTATATGTGTATAGTAAAAACTTAAATTTTTTTTTTTTTTAAAAACTCAATGAGCTAGACCTTAGATGTTTAGCATGAAACATCTTCTAATGGGTGTCTTCCAATTTTGTTCAAATAAAAGCCCTGGGGTTTAAACTGGCCTCGCTCTGTGGGCCTATACAGGTGAGCGACTTCAGGGCCATCATGGCCCTCTTGTTGTGAAATTCCTGAATTTTATACCCCTGAGTTGTGACTTTATCAATGGAAACACAGTGAAATCCATCAGTGCTAAGTCCATACTGTATGGTGCATGCAGCAGAGTCTCAAACTCCAGTTACTGAATTTCCAGTGAATTAGTTGCTGCCATATGAAACCATGTTTCATGCGTTGTAATAATTCTGTCCAAAAATTCATCACCACCTCTTTTCCATTTGCAAAGAAATTATTTTGCTGCTCTAACACATGCCTCTTTATTATCACTGGAAAGTAACCTTCGGACCAAACATACTCAAACATATTCAATTCAAAAGTATTAGTGAGAATTGTAGCACAGTTGTCTTTCAAATATCACATTGTTCAGAAATAGAACTACCGTAAGTCGCTGGTCATCATCAATGACGTTCTTTACTAATGTTAAGGATTTGTAATGTTTAGTCTTCCTAAACGTAAATCTTTTGTAGTTTCAACTCTACCATCATGAAATCGCTTGTACCAATTGTATACATGAGTGCGAGAAACACTTGGCCTCTTACTGTTTCAATTAATTAATTCAGTTGTCTCTCCAGGCGTTTTCCCAAGCTTCATGCAGAATTTTACTAGCACACGCTGCTCCGCCCAAACGTCCGACATCGTCATTTTTGGCGAGTTTTCTTCCATGATTTATTGGCAATACTTCTCCTTACTATTTTATTTCTAAATTGATAAAGTTCAATTGATAACAATATAACATCAGCGTGTAACGCCACATCATGGAGTGTTAATCATAAAGTTACCCGTGTCCCTCCGTCCATCCATCCGTATGAACCCAGAGGTACTTGTGTGACTTGGAGAACAATGGGTAACAGTAAATTCTCTTTGATCCTATTCATTCCGTTTTTACATGTGTGTCTTTTTTTTAAGCTTTGTGTGACTAAAAATGGCCAAAAAGATCAAAGGAAAAGTCACATAAGCACCTGGGTATTTTCATGTGGATATCTTTAGTATTTTTAGAGTTATTGCCCTTGACTTAGTAAAAATTTGCAATTTTCAACTTGTGTCGCTAGTTACTAAAAAAGTATTTGACCTAGAATCATGAAACCTTTCAAGAATGTTGCTCAGCATGTGTAGTTGTGCACCTTGGTATATTCCTGTGGATATTTTTAGTATTTTAAGAGTTATTGCCCTTGACTTAGTAAAAATTTCCAATTTTCAAATTGTGACGCACGTAACTAAAAAAATATTTGACCTAGAGTCATGAAACCTTACAAGAATGTTGCTTAGCATGTGTAGTTGTGGTATTTTTGTGTGGATATTTTTTTAGTATTTTAAGAGTTATTGCCCTTGACTTAGTAAAAATTTGCAATTTTCAACTTGTGTCGCATGTAACTCAAAAAATATTTGTCCTAGAGTCATGACACCTTACAGGAATGTTGATCAGTATGTGTTGTTGTGCGCCTGGGTATTTTCATGTAGATATATATAGTATTTTTAGAGTTATTGCCATTGACTTAGTAAAAATTTGCAATTTTCAACTTGTGTCGCATGTAACTCAAAAAGTATTTGACCTAGAGTCATAAAACCTTACAAGAATATTGCTCAGCATGTGTTGTTGTGTATCTGGGTATTTTCCTTTGGATATTTTTTCGTACTTTTAGATTTATTGCTCTTGAATTAGTAAAAATTTCCAATTTTTAACTTTTGTTGCACATAACTAAAAAAGTATTTGACCTAAAGTCTTGAAACCTTACAGGAATGGTGCTCAGCATGTGTAGTTGTGCACCTGGGTATTTTCGTGTGGATATTTTTAGTATTTTAAGAGTTATTGCCCTTGACTTAGTAAAAATTTACAATATTCAACTTGTGTCGCATGAAACTCAAAAGGTATTTGACCTGTAGGCCTGAAAGTTTACAAGAATGTTGGTCAGCATGTGTACTTATGCACCCTGGGGTCTTCTTGTGGATTTATTCAATATTTGTAGTATTTGCCTTTTACTAAATAAAAGATTTTTAGTTTTCAGCTTGGGCACATGTCTCCTGTGACAGCTCTTGTTAGTTTTGATATTTTCTATAGATCTTCTTTCCTTCATTTACTTGGCTCCAAATCATTTACTCAATGGTGTAGATGAATATTTTTCTCTCTTACAGAATTTACATTTGGGCAGTTCCTGATATTGTGGCAACATTAACGAAGACACAACCTTTTATTTGTGATAAAAAAGACAAAAGTGGATTTTTCTATTGATTTCTTGACTGTATTTTGGTTGACTGATTTTTGTGACAACATGAGTTAACCCTGAACCTACTAGATTTGTATAATGAATTTGCCCAGCTTTGAATTTGGAACAGCCAATTCAAAGTTTTAGGGATTTTTATTTCAAATAGAAAAATTAAGTGGTATAGAGCTGTAGAGTTGGGTCAGACTGCTGATCTTGGTTCCAGCAGATTAAGGCTAATAATGATGAACTGTCAAGAGTGTTTTCATTATATGAAGAATCAGTGAGTTGTTCTTATCTTTTTTTTGCTGCCCAAAGGCATACAAAGCTATATCATTTGAATATACTCTTATTAGTCTTTACTTTGAAACAGTTGTTATATAGTGTTAGGAAGCTGGGAATGTCAAAAATATAAATATTAGGTAACAATATAGTGTATGAACTATGAGTTCATTAACAGTGTCATTAATATGTGATTGATGTTCATAGTTTACATTCCAAAAAAAATGAAAAAGAAAGTGTTTTATACAACATAAGAAATATAAACAATTGCTGGTGCTAAACTCTGGATCTTATAATAAAAGCTTTCTAAATGAGCTTTTTACAATAGAAATTGAGAGGACATTAATAAAAAAGATTTGTATGAGAAAGTAAATAGTGATGTTGGAAAAGTGAAGATGAAAAATCTAAATTTGAATCAAGCAAAATGTTGCAAATAAAAGGACAAGAGGCTGCTCTCTTGCAACAGAAAATAAGGATTAAAAGAAATATCATGATAAAAAGGTATAAGTAATATTGGTTATTTTGCTATGTAGCATAAGAATGTATTAGCATGGTACGAAATGGTTAATGAAGTATTGCTGGGTACAAATCATATCATCATGATGATACAATCCTGATAAAATACAATAAATCATTATCTTAAACAGGACAATAAAAATATTACCATGTTAAAGAAATAGCTTTAAATGTAAAATTGTTATACCTCTTTAATCTTTACCATACTAAATATTTTAAATTTGCCTGTTCATCTTTCAATTTAGATACAAACATTCATTATTTTTAGGGTAATATTGATAATAAATAAATAAGTAGTGACTGAATGCCAAACAGTGCAGACCATGATCAGATGGCACAGATATGCCAGCTTATTTTGGTCTGCACTGGTCACATGTGTACATTCAGTTGCACATGTCGGTTTAAGGGTTAAAAGAGGAAGTGCATTTATATTTGTTTGTCTTATTATTGTAGCTTAGATTTCAACTACTGCTATGTTGTAGCTTTATTGACTATCAGGTACTTTCTGTGTTCAATTGTTAATGATATTTTACAAACTGAAATTCTTACCAAGTTTGTTTTACAAAAATAATACCTATATTCCAATGTAATACCAAGTCTCCAGTGGCATTTTGTTGAACAGTTTATTAGGGTAATAGATTAGTGTTTTTATGAATATACAATGCAATAATTGAAGGGCATTGTTGTATGTATGTTTATAATAGTTTATCTATCACTGCCATTGTAAACCATATGGATCTTGACATATGAAGAAGCTATCGGGTTCTAATGATTAATAGACACATAAGTTGTTGCATTGATTCTATTTCTTTCAATGTCAAGGATTGAATACTGCTTTAACCTGTGCTGGTTGGCATGAAATTATAACAGGTATATTATTTCTGCTAAATGACTGAATTTTTTTACAACAAAGTTGAAAAGATATCAGATTTGTGCCATAAATGTTAACATTTCTATATTCATTTTGTATTTCTATATTAGTTATTAATATTTATCTTTGTTGAATAATGGTTGTTAAACATTGGATGAAATATTTTAACATGATGAATAACAAGTAAATACTGTAAGAAACATTTATATATACTATGTTTTGTATGTAGCATAACCAGGACATTGCTAAATTTATGTATTTAACTTGCTTTGTTTTGAATTTGGAATAGTCTGTTTTTTTACAGTCTGTGATTTTACATGACAAAAGCTAAAATAGATATACCAGTTAGTAGTGTCAGACTGCACAATAAAATGGACATAGGCAAGCATTTGCTGTTACAATTCAAATAGTTTATTTATTACATTTTTCATCCTATTTAACACTTTTGCCTATGGCATTTGCAAAGTTAATTTCAATATATTGACCAGATTACATCTTTAATTATTAATTATATAATGCACAGAAAATAACTTGTTAAATGCGTAGCTGTAGGACAGGGTGTTATGTAAAAGTATATGAAAATCAAACCGTGTGATGATTTTTGTAGAATTTCTGTATTGAAATATACAGTGTAGTTTTATTTTTAGTCCCCTACCGGTTTACCGGAGGGGACTTTAGGTTTACCCTCCGTCCGTCTGTCCGTCTGTCCGTCCGTCTGTCCATCTGTCCGTCCGTCTGTCTGTCCGTCCGTCAGTCCGTCCGTCCACAAAACTGGATCCCGCGATAACTTGAAAAGTACTGAAAATATTTTTATGAAACTTGGTATATGGATAGATGGCAGTATGGAGATTATGCACGTCTTTTTATTTTCTTCCTATGTTGAAAATTCTGGTTGCTATGGCAACAAATAGGCTGAAAATATGGCAAATTTTACACATAAACTGGATCCAGTGATAACGCAAAAAGTACTGGAAATGTTTTTTATGAAACTTGACATATGGGTAGATGGCAGTCTTGAGATTATGCCACGTCTTTTTCTTTTCTTCCTATGTTGAAAATTCTGGTTGCTATGGCAACAAATAGGCTGAAAATGTGGCAAATTTTACACATAAACTGGATCCAGTGATAACGCAAAAAGTACTGGAAATATTTTTATGAAACTTGACATATGGGTAGATGACAGTCTTGAGATTATGTACGTCTTTTTCTTTTCTTCCTATGTTGAAAATTCTGGTTGCTATGGCAACAAATAGGCTGAAAATATGGCAAATTTTACACATAAACTGGATCCAGTGATAACGCAAAAAGTAATGGAAATATTTTTATGAAACTTGACATATGGGTAGATAGCAGTCTTGAGATTATGCATGTCTTATCTGTTCTTCCTATTTTGAAAAAATATCTGTTGCCTTGGCAACAAATAGGCTTCAAACATGGCAAATATAACAATATTTGTGATTAGTCAAAAAGAGCTGAAATTTTTTATGAAATTGCATCTTTAATTCAAGAGTTATCTCCTCTTTAAGAATTTTGCTTTTAAAATGTTATATTTTGGTAACAGGGATGTTTCAAATATTAACTTTAGAGTGTCCTTCAGTCCGTCTGTCTGTCTGTTCATAAAAACTGTTTCCTGTGATCACTTTTAAAGAACTTTTCCAACAAATTTACTTAAAATAGAGAAAAATTGAAACATTAGTGAATGGCCAGTGGCCCTTCAGAATGTTGATTGGTTTCTAACCGGTAGGGGACTTATGGATTGCTTGCAATACTATGATAATTGCTTGTTTGCTATGAATATGTAATAGGTTCTACTGGTATTTTTATTACAAAATAGATGTTTCAATTACTGAGATTAATATACATTGTATATCTGTCAAGAATTGTCTATGTGTAGATTACATTTTAGAAGTTGTCATGACATTTCCATACTGTGGCTATGATTTAATGGTAGGTATTTTAGCCCACCTTTTTGCTAAACTGTACACGTTTGTGATAGCGTTATATCATCCGTTATTATCTATTAAACAGCTTATCCTGCAAAACCCCCAGATAAATCTTGTCCAAACTTAAGACAAATGATCTTTAAAATGGTGTCTTTAGACAGTTAAATGCAAGTAGGTCAGAGAACTAAGATACAGATTTTATAACATAAAACCTTTCAATTTTTTTCCAGTTAGAAACAGAGCCTATGTGTAGCATTAACTTGTATAATGACTAGCTCACTTTAAAACAATTTCCTGTACTTGATTCATAGATATTTATATGAAGTTGCAACTTCTTGTACAAGACCATTTATTTAGATTATGAATGCACTTGCCATGCTTCAAAGTCTTGTTGTGTCATTTGTCAGTTAAAGGCTTTTAAATATTGATGAGTCAACTGTATACTGTTTGATCAATTTTCACATACATACAGGATAACTTGTAACTGACTTAGAAACACAAGCTAATATTGACACAGAAATATAGGCTAGCCTGGCCATACACAAGTGTCACAGCTTGGACATTGTTGTTGCTAATATTGAAAGGGTTAATCTTAAACATTTGTTGTGTAATGACTTTTGCATTTTCACTAGTTAAGCTTTTATTCACTCAGTATTTTTATTTATTTTGTTGAAATATGTTGACTGTTATATATGTATGTCATTTTGGAAATGGGGCATTTCAGAGTAATGTTTGTAGAGACATTCTCAAATAATGTGTTCATGACTACTTTATCATATAGGGAAGTTTGTAGAAAGATAAAGCCATATGTTTACATTATTACTATATTTCAATCAGTACTTAAAATTTTTTTTAGACTTTTAGATGAATGCAAATAACTTTTTACTATCTTAATGAATTATGTTAGAGAATGTAGGCATTGCATTTTACAAAGCCATTCTTAGCCTATACTTTTGTATAAGTTATATACATGTATATATGCATGTGTAATTTTATAAAAAAATAACACAATTTTAGTCAATAAATTGTGTGTTCTGATGGAAATAGTATTAAGATTTATTGAAACCAAAAGTAAAACCTCCTTAATGTAAGTTAATGATTAGCATACTTTTGTTAAATTTTTAAAATTGTATGCTTAGTTGTTCAGATTGGCGTATATAAAGTGACCCTGAGCTTGTGACACATATATGTTGCTTTTCACTTCATAGTAAAATATAGGACCATTAAATGTGTTATTCAGGGATAAAGTAATGAGTGTCAAGGATTTTGTTATCAAGATGTTATATTGTCAGAGGGTAGATTAGATAGAGTAATCAGTACATTACTACGATATATTGTCCTTGTAGCATCTCACCTACTAAGATTACCCTTTACTTCAGTGAGTTAACATCATATATATCATATGCACTTTGAAATATTATGAAATATTTGCCCTTAGACACAATATATAATGGAAGAACTTTTTTTATATGTGTTTTTCAGTATCATTCTTTATGTTAAGTGTTTGATTCTTACATATACAATTTACATATATTGCTTAAATAAATTTTATGAATCTAATCAGTGAATTGTGTTTTTAGCTCACCTGAGCATATGCTCAGGGTGAGCTATTAGGATCACCCTTCGTCCGTCGTCTGTCGTCCGTTGTCCGTCGTATGTCGTACGTCGTCCGTTGTCCGTTCACACTTTTCAAACGTCATCTCCTCTGAAACCATAAGGCAGATCATAATGAAACTTCACAGGGATGTTCCTTGTGTGAAGCCTTAACAAAGTTGTTCAAAGAATTCCATTCCATGCAGAACTCTGGTTGTAATGGCAACCAAAAGAAAAAACTTTAAACATTTTCTTCTAAAAAACCCAAAGAGCTAGAGCTTAGATATTTGGCATGAAACATCTTCTAGTGAGTGTCTACCAAGATTGTTCAAATAAAAGCCCTGGGGTCAAAATTGGCCCCACGCCAGGGGGTCATTGATTTTCCCTATATGCATATAGTAAAAACTTAAAAAAATCTTCTTTTAAAGAACCCAAAGAGCTAGACCTAAGCTTTTAAGCATGAAACATCTTCTAATGAGTGTCTACCAAGATTGTTCAAATAAAAGCCCTGGGGTCAAAATTGGCCCCGCCCCAGGGGGTCATTGATTTTCCCTATATGCATATAGTAAAAACTTAAAAAATCTTCTTCTAAAAAACCCAAAGAGCTAGATCTTAGATATTTGGCATGAAACATGTTCTAATGGATGTCTACCAAGTTTGTTCAAATAAAAGCCCTGGGGTCAAAATTGGGCCCGCCCCAGGGGTTTATTGATTTTCCCTATATGCATATAGTAAAAACTTAAAAAAATTTCTCTTAAGAACCCAAAGAGCTAGAGCTTAGATATTAAGCATGAAACATCTTCTAATCAGTGTCTACCAAGTTTGTTCAAATAAAAGCTCTGGGGTCAAAATTGGCTCCGCCCCAGGGGGTCATTGATTTTCCCTATATGCATATAGTAAAAACTTAAAAAAATTTCTTTTAAAGAACCCAAAGAGCTAGAGCTAACATATTTAGCATGAAACATCTTCTAATGGGTGTCTACCAAGTTTGTTCAAATAAAAACCCTGGGGTCAAAATTGGCCCCGTTCCAGGGGTCATTGATTTTCCCTATATACATAGAGTAAAAGCTAAAAAATATTCTATTAAAGAACCCAAAGAGCTAGAGCTAAGATATTTAGCATGAAACATGTTCTAATGGATGTTTACCAAGTTTGTCAAATAAAAGCCCTGGGGTCAAAATTGGCCCAGCCCTAGGGGGTCATTGATTTTCCCTATATTGCATATAGTAATTAAAAACTTAAAAATCTTCTTTTAAAGAACCCAAAGAGCTAGAGCTAAGATATTTAGCATGAAACATGTTCTAATGGGATTCTACCAAGTTTGTTCAAATAAAAGCCCTTGGGTTAAAATTGGCTCCGCCCCAGGGGGGGGGGGGGGGGGGGCAAAACCAAAAGTCATTGTTTTTCATTATTTGTGTATAGTAAAAACTTAACATCATGAAACATCTTCTAATAAGGTGTCTTCCAAGTTTGTTCAAATAAAAGCCCTTTGGTTTAAACTGGCCCCGCCCTGGGGGCCTATGTACAGGTGAGCGACCCCAGGGCCATCATGGCCCTCTTGTTGCTTTAGTTACTTTGCTTAAATAAAATGCGTCTCTCTTTGCATGGGAATTATCTGTAATATCTAGTAAGATGACATAAATCATACATTGAAAGCCTATTGTTTTTTATTTAAAACATATTTTGCATATTAAACTGTGAAGGGTTTCAGTTTAATGTTTTGCAAAAAAGAACTATATAAACAAGGCAGTTGGTTGTGGTGAAGGACCATGCTATCATCTTGTAGGCCAATGTTACAGACAGATTTCATTTCTAGTCCAATGTTTAAAAACTAAGACTTAAACTTTATAGAACATTTATTACAATGCAGGAATCATAACCAGTTCTCAATAAAACACAAGTGTTTAGTCCAACTGGTTTTATTGTTATAATCAGATAATATATACCAATGAACTAACATATCCCACATTCATGAAATTTTAATCAAAATGCTGAATAATGAATTTATCAAGTTTTAATGTACCTGCTCCAACAAATTTGCACAACAAATATCTAGAGTTCAATGAACTTAAGATAACAGAAAAGTTGTTATCGCTTTAAGTTCATTTATTGACATTCCGCTGTCGACATATTATTGGTGTTCGTGGCTGCCGTTATAGGGTATGATGAAAGATAGATGTGATTGTATGTAGCTAGTGTTATTGTATCTGGATGTGAAAAATAACTACTTTTTAGCTAAACTTTTTTACATTGAAACATTTCCATCTATTTTTGCTGTCCAGAAACTTACATTAGCCTTTATTTTATTTCTAAATGGATTGTTATCATACTTTGACACAAAAACCCTTTGGACAAAACCTTCAAGGGGACCAGACTGAACTTTACATTGACTCATAAATGATTTTGATCTTTAAGGTCAAATGTTTGAATTTTTCTTAATTTTTGAAAGAATTAGCTATAACTTTTGTTATAGGTTGTCTTCATACTTAGCGACAACAATCCTTTTGACAAGACCTTCAAGTAGACCAGATTGGATATGACCTTTACTCATCAATGACTTTGACTTTGAAGGTCAAATTACTGGATTTTGCTTGATTTTTGTTATTAATCAAACTCAATTGAACCATGACTTATAAATGACATTCACCTTGAAAATCAAGTTATTTTAATTTCACTGTTTTATTTATAATTGGCTATAACTTTCTAATTAATGAACGGATTGTGTTCACAACAATCCTTGTGATAAGATATTAAAGAAGATTTATTAAATTTGACCTTGACCTAAATTTGACCTTGACACTTAAGGTCAAATGAGTAAATTTGGCTTCATACTTAGACAAAAGAACACATCTGACAAAACTGACTTGTTGAATTATTTCTGATATGACATTGAGCTGTAATTAACCATGACCATCGTAGTCAAATATTGAAATTTGCTGAAAATATCATAAATTTTTTATTTGTGTACAGATTTGATTCAATTTGGAACAAAAGAAGGCATATGACAAAACCAACAAGCTGAATTACTCTGATATGACTTTGACCTTTGACATCAGCAGTTCCGGTCAAGATTTTGAAAGTTGCTTAAATTACCATAACTTTGTTATCTATATGGGTTTTATTCATTAATGGACAACAGAACACTTATAGCAAACCTGACATAATGATTAATTCAACTGTGACTTTGACCTTTGATGAATGACCTTGACAGTCAAGGTCAAATATAGTTTTTACAAGAAAATTATGTTTCCTAGGATTACTTTGAATGTGTTTGACTTTAGGAATAAAAAAGGTCCAGTTTGGCTCGTTCGGCGGTTGCTCCTGTTAAATAATAGAAATAAAGTTGCGTAAGTAACCTCAAGGATGGGTTGTAACATATGAACAATTCTTCAGGTAACTTATCTTCATAAAATGTTATAATAGATAATTGATAAATGGACACAGAGGATGTCTTATATTATAACCTTCATATTTCAATCAATTCATTTCGGTTAATGAATCCAGTGATGAATGCTAAATATTTTCTTTGGAATTATAAGTATAAGTTATAAGTAATATGCATATTTTTGCAATGTTAAAAATGCGTTGTTTAAATGCACAAATGTGATAATTTAGCAGTTAGATTCTTTTTAAACCAAATCAACATTTCCATATCCAGTACTTATATTACTAGTTCTGTAGCACCGTTGTACGAATCGTGAGACCTCGTATATACTTGAACCAGGTGAGTTTGGATCCGAGATACATATTAGGATGATATCTAAACATGACCGAACGTGTAAAAAATAATTTTCTGCTCTTCCAACGAATGAGCTTGAACTGTTTTTGAAGCACGTGTAATCTTGTTTGTCAATTCTTATTTTTGCTAGAGTTTTATCAGAGCTTCTGAGAATGCAAAGAGCAGCAAATGCCTCCTCTTCAGTAATTCCCATACCAATGCTCCGAAAAAGTATTTTCCCATTTAAATCTGTTATAGCAACCTTTTCTATTTTACCCGTACTTTTGAGTATTTCAACATAATTCTGCAGTTCAGATATCTCTCTATCTCCGGATAGTTCTGTTTCAGATACACAATCTATTTCAATAGATTGTGTGTTAATTTCAGACTGTGACAGATGTTCAGCAGCATCAGCTAAACTATCATCATCTTCTGATGGCTCTTCAGAATACGTGTCATCAGTAAAAGTGTCGTTGTCCACACCTCTGTCGTCTGATTCCGTAGCCGGTGATTTTAAAATGGAACGCAATATTTTCTTTTTCGACAAATTATCTTCGATGAAGTCCTCTGATTGATCAGACACGCACTTGTTTGTTTCACTTTTATTTTCCGTATCAATTTCAGCGACAGATGATATAAATCGGATGGACATTTTGGTTGATAGTGATTCAGATCGATCGACATAAATGCACTGTGAATGGACAGACTCGCCCTGCGTATCTGATGCTTGTGTTATTTGTTTAGATTTAACTCCTCAAATTAATCGTTTTCAATTTCATAACGATTGTCATTTCACTCGTGTAACTAAATATTTCATTGACTTTATTGTCATATCGGATTTTCATAACAACTGGATTTTTTTTCGAGCTCCTGTTGATTTGTTTTCTACATGCACAAGCAGAGGTGAAATATTGACAACTGCAGATTTAGATATTAATACCATCCATAGTATACATATAATACATAAACACAAAAACCTTATGAAAAAGTAACACGTTGAAAATTTAGCCCACGCTATCATTGAACTATTCTATTATGTTTTGAATACTTTCCTCATCAGGCGTATTTACGATAAAATGTACTATTCATCCAGTATAGAGTAAATCCATTCTCATTCCAATGTTTCTAATTGACCAGTTGTTTAAACAGAATACCATCAGTAAACTGTTTATGGATAAAATAATAATTTAATCAGCCGTCATGTTAGAATTGGCGACACGGGGAGATAAAAGTGCACACGGTATTGATT